TCTTGTCTAATTTCTTCAGCATTTGCATCTTCTCCTTTTGCAACTACACCTCTTAATTTCTCTATTTTTTCTTTAAGCTTAGTGACACCCTCAGCATCCACTTCATTTTTGAATCGATCTAAATTTTTCTCTGTTTCATGAATCGCTGATTCTGCATGATTAGCTGCCTCAATAACATCTTTACGTTTTGCATCTGATTCAGCAAACTTTTCAGCCTCATCTATCATCTTGTTGATTTCATTACTGGTTAGACCTGATGATGCTACAATTGTTATAGATTGATCACGATTAGTAGCTTTGTCTTGGGCTGAAACATTGACGATACCATCTGCATTAATGTCAAAGGACACCTCAATTTGTGGTACTCCTTTTGGAGCTGGCGGGATTCCATCTAATTGGAAGTTACCCAACAATTTATTGTCACGGCATAATTCACGTTCGCCCTGATAAACACGTACATCGACTACAAAAATAATAAAAAATCATTATAAAATTATTATTTTTAATATGAATATTATATTATCACTTATGTAATACCTTGTGTTTGACCATCAGATGCGGTTGAAAATACTTGAGATTTTTTAGCAGGAATGGTTGTGTTACGATTAATCAATCTAGCGAAAACTCCTCCAAGTGTTTCGATACCCAAAGAAAGTGGCGTGACATCAAGAAGGAGAATATCGGTTATTTTTCCAGAAAGCACACCACCTTGAATTGCTGCTCCAAGAGCAACAGCTTCATCAGGGTTGACACTTTTGCTTGGTTCTTTACCGAATATTAATTTAACAGTTTCAAATACCATTGGCATACGTGACATTCCTCCAACCAAAATTATTTCATTGATATCTTTTGGAGAAACCTGAGAATCTTTAATTGCATTTTTACAAGGCTCAATTGTACGATCAACATATTTCTTAACCAATGATTCAAGCTTTGCTCTTGTCAATTTAATATTAATATGCTTTGGTCCGCTGTTATCAGCTGTAATATATGGAAGATTGATATCTGTTTGTAGGGTCGATGAAAGTTCAATTTTTGCTTTTTCTGCAGCTTCTCTAATACGTTGAATGGCCAAACTGTCTTTTGAGATGTCAACACCTTGTTCTGCTTTAAATTCTTGGATAATATAATTTACCAATGCACCATCAAAATCCTCACCACCAAGGGCAGTATCACCATTTGTACTCTTGACTTCAAAGACTCCATTTTGTATTTCAAGAATTGAAATATCAAAAGTTCCACCACCAAGATCATAAACTGCCACTATCTTATCCTCGTTTTTATCCAAACCATAGGAAAGTGCAGCAGCTGTTGGTTCATTGATTACTCGTAAAACATCAAGTCCTGCTATTTTCCCAGCATCCTTTGTTGCTTGGCGTTGAGCATCATTAAAATAAGCTGGTACAGTTATGACAGCATGACTAACTTTTTTACCTAAATAACTTTCAGCTGTTTCTTTCATTTTGTTTAGAATAAAAGCACCAATTTGTGAAGGAGAGTATTTTTTCCCTGAAGCTTCAACCCACGCATCATTATTTGAATGTTTTATTATTTTGTATGGGACTGATTTTGCATCATGTTGAACTGATTTATCGTTATAACTACGCCCTATTAATCTTTTTGTGGCATATATTGTATTTGTTGGATTAACAACGGCCTTAAAAAAAGGGGAAAAAAAGATTAATTAAAATTTTCTTGGTAATAATCAATCAATAGATTAATTTTCTTAAAAAATTATTAACCTGGCGCTTAGCAGCTTGACCAACTAATAATTCACCATCTTTTGATATTGCTATTATTGATGGAGTTGTTCTTGCACCTTCTGAATTCTCGAGCACTTTTGGTGAATTACCTTCCATTACCGCTACACAAGAATTAGTTGTACCTAAATCAATACCTACAACAGGCCCGCTAACACCAGTGCTATATGATTTATTAAATCCGATTGCGAGTGATGGCTTTGTATAATAAATATAATAATCATCAGTATTATTAATATTATCAGTATGGCAAAGGAAAATTTTCCAAATTCATTTCCTATTGAACTTTGATGATATAAATTATATATATGCTAATATAATACAAATAATTACCATAGTACGCCATAGCGTATGTTTTGAATAGGTCGAGGACGAGCATTTTATTAAATTATACAACATCTTTAATTTTTTTTATCAACTTCTTGATTGTGTTACGTTGATGGATTATTTTTTTTTTTATGATCACCTAAATTTGTAATTAGATAACAAGTTTACGAATGAGAACGCAAAGTGAGCTTAACTAATAACTACCCAGTAAACACATATTTACGTAGGTACATGTTCAATGATTTCGTAATGAACACGTTAATAACAATAAATGATGTGTATAGGAATAAAGATGTTAGCCGAAATGGTTTTTGAAAAAATCAATTTCGGCAGGCAATTTCGGATTTACAATATTTTCATAATGATGGACATAAAAAAACCCAGAATTTTGGCTATTGAGTTAGTGTTCAAATAATTTTGAGTATAATTTCGGCAATTAATAAAGTTAATTTCGGCAACCATGAAAACTATTTCGGCATTTCGGATTCGGTGACAATCATTTACTAATACCAAGTGAAGTAATTTTGGCTAACATCTTTATATGGGAACATATGGTTAACACTAATATGGTAATGTGCAGTTGTTTGTGATGTTATTATTGATCCTACACTTAATATTATGCGTGGATTATTGTCAATGGGATGGCGGATTTAGATCTATAGATGCAGGTTAATATCTAAATCAATCAATGAAATTTGAATCTGAATTGTAATTTCATTCGATTCAATTCAATTTGATCTGATTCGAATATAAAATTTGATTAAATCCATAGCATTCATTAGTTATTAATGAATTGTGCAGCTGTAATTGTATTACTTTTTTTATTCGTCATTATGTTATCATTATTGTTATACAATTAATAATATAATTATTTAGTGATGGTACCTTACTTAGCGGTCAAAATCGCCGGAATTAATTAAACTCGGGCGAAACTAATTCAATATTATAAAAAATATTGGGTTACCATTAAAGACGTTAGCCGAAATGGTTTTTGAAAAAATCAATTTCGGCAGGCAATTTCGGATTTACAATATTTTCATAATGATGGACATAAAAAAACCCAGAATTTTGGCTATTGAGTTAGTGTTCAAATAATTTTGAGTATAATTTTGGCAATTAATAAAGTTAATTTCGGCAACCATGAAAACTATTTCGGCATTTCGGATTCGGTGACAATCATTTACTAATACCAAGTGAAGTAATTTTGGCTAACATCTTTATATGGGAACATATGGTTAACACTAATATGGTAATGTGCATGACATGACAATAAATGCGTCCACGCAATGTAAAATTACCAAGATCTTTGATAAATAAATAAGATGGCTGCTTATTTTTACAGTAATGGAATCAAATTATGCTTACTTTCCTGCCACACAAAATTAATTTTTGTTTAGCATTTTTTTCTCTTAGCATTATCCAATCACCTCTGCTTGCAGATGTCCCGAGATCTTCATCAGTTATAACATAATTATCACTTTCCAATTCTGTTTCTCCTTCCCACTTACAAAGAGTTTTTCCATCATTTGGACAATTTTCAAAATCACCTTCTGTTGGATAACCAAATATAACTGTTGAGACATTAGTTCCTACATTGATTTCCAACTAAGAGGTCATGTATATTGTTGTAATTTATTACCCACTGGATTGTTAAATGTAAACCTCATCAAGCCATAATCAGAAAGATCATTATTCTCATGAAAGTCATCTGTCGCTTGAGCTACAACGACAAGGAATTCATCCAAGTTGACCATCTTGTCCATGGTAATACCCGGGAGAAAACATTAAATTTACTAAACATTGTTTAAGCAAGGGTCTCTTTGATATTATATTTATAGA